TTTATGTGCACTTCATGCGCAACAGGGAAATTGATTTTACGTCCCTCGCACGTTAAAATCCAAAATGAGCCACTAAAATTTCTTGAACGCATTTAAGGAGATATTTGTGGCCCCATACAACCAACGTCTGGACCGTTCAGGTACTTCATGGTTCTAATAGATGTATCTACTAGATGGTCTCATGTGTGTCTTTTGTCCACACCTAGCCATGCATTTGCAAAAATTATTGCTCAAGTTATTAGACTTAGAGCACATAATCCTGAACATCAAATTCAATCAATTCGAATGGACAATGCTGCTGAATTTTCCTCAAAGGCTTTCAACGATTATTGTATGGCTTTGGGAATTCAAGTTCACCACTCTGTCCCATATGTCCATACACAAAATGGTTTAGTAGAATATCTTATTAAGAGAATTAAACTCATTGCAAGACCGTTATTACAAAATTGCAACCTACCAACTTCATATTAGGGTCATGCAGTCTTACACGCGGCTGACTTAATTCAATTGCGACCAACTGCATATCACGTTGTCTCCCCATTGCAATTAGTACGTGGGAATATGCCAAATATTTCCTATCTACGAAAATTCAATTGCGTTGTATACGTACCGATCTCACTGCCTAAGCGTACCTCTATGGGCCCACATAGGAAACTTGGTATCTATGTGGGATATCAATCTCCATCAATTATCAATACCTCGAGCCTTTTACAGGGGACTTATTGATGGCTCGATATGCTGGCTGCATATTTAATGAGGACCATTTCCTGACATTAGGGGAAGATTTCAAGTACCAAAGTGAATGCCAGGAAATCAACTGGAATGCCCAAGGCATTTCCTCAGATCCACGTACTCTAAAGACTAAACAAGTTTAGAAAATCATAAACTTGTAACATATTGCAAATAACCTGTCAGAAGCATTTAATGATTATAAGGGTGTTACTAAATCCTCTTATCATGCTCGTAATGCGCCCGAAAGAGTGGAGGTACCAATAAAAACCATTCAACTCCCGCTTCCAAAGAAGAGGGAGAGTAGTACGGCCGCTCCAAAGGATAATGCTCCAAGTAAGTATCCAAGGATATCGAGGACTAAATCCTCCAAATCAGTAAATCCAAGTCAACCTCAAGTTGGTAGACACCCAATAGTGGATAAAAATCCAAAACCTGGACTAAATCCACAACCTAGATCAACAGTGCATCCAAATTCTAATCCTAGGACATCGGAACACCTTGACTCTATAGTTTTGTAAAATGTTGAGTCAAATAATGGAGTGAAAGAAATTTCCATCAATTATATCAATTCTGGAGAATCATACGATCGTAAGACTACTGTTGTCGACATCTACTTCTCCGCAGCAATTGCATAAATCTTCCTCAATGATACAGATCCTAAGACCATGGCAGAGTGCAAAAAGTGCTCGGACTGGGCTCAATGGAAAGAAGCAATTCAAGCTGAGATAGCCTCGCTCACTAGAAGAGGGGTATTCACATCTGCAATACCTACACCTTCCAAAGTCTTTCCTGTAGGCTTTAAATGGGTTTTCATACGAAAATGGAATGAGAACAATGAGGTGGTGAGATATAAAGTGAGGCTAGTAGCACAAGGGTTCACACAGAGACCCGATATTGATTACAATGAAACCTATTCTCCGGTAATGAGTGGAATTACTTTCCGATACTTAATATCATTGGTAGTTCAAAATCATCTATTTATGCAGTTGATGGATGTGGTGACAGCATATCTATATGGGTCACTTGATTCGGACATATACATGAAGGTTCCCGATGGAATCCAAATTCCAAATTCGAACGCAAATCGCAACATGTATTGTGTAAAACTTCAAAAGTCATTATATGGCTTAAAGCAGTCGGGTCGAATGTGGTACAACCTACTGAGTGAGTTTCTTCTAAAGAAAAGATACACTAACAATGATGATTGCCCATGTGTTTTCATTAAGAAATCTCGAACGGGATTTTGCATTATATCCGTATATGTTGATGATTTAAATATCATTGGCAACCCAAAAGATATAGAAGAAGCACGCAAACATCTAAAGAGGGAATTCAAGATGAAGGATTTGGGTAAGACCAAATATTGCCTAGGCTTACAACTTGAGCACCGTCCTTCAGGGATTTTAGTGCATCAATCAGCCCATATCCAGAAAATATTGAAAAAATTCAATATGGATAAATCATACCCTAATAAAACTTCGATGGTTGTTCGTTCTTTAGAAATAGGGAAAGATCCATTTAGACCATGGGATATTGGGAAAAAGAGGTTGGGACCAGAAATCCCATATCTCAGTGTTATTGGCGCATTTGGCGCACTTATGTATCTTGCAAATTGCACCAGGGCTGATATCGCATTTGCAGTGAACTTACTAGCTACGCATAGTATGGATCCAACTTGCCGTTATTGGACGGGAACGAAGTGTATCCTATTGGACGGGAGCAAAGTGTATCCTCATATACCTTAATGGCACAAAGGATCTTAGTTTATTCTTCAAGAAAAATCATAATCCCAGTATGATTGGTTATACTGATGCTGGTTACTTATTTGATCCTCATAGCGAAAAATTCTAAACAGGATTTGATTTCTACATGGAGATACAGCTATTTTATTGAAGTCTTCTAAGCAGACTCTAACAACGACCTCTATTAATTATTCTGAAATTATTGCTCTATACGAGGCATCACGAGAATGTGTATGGCTTCGCAGAATGATTAACCACATACAACAGTCATGTGGTATTGGTTCAATTGAATCACCTACAATTATCTATGAAGATAATTCCGCTTGTGTTACACATATACAAACATGTTACATAAAGAGCAATATTACTAAACATATTGTTCCTAAACTGTTTTATCCCCATGAATTACAAGAAAGCGGGAAAATAAACATCTTGCAAATTAAGTCATGTGATAATCTCGTTGACCTATTTACTAAGTCCTTACCAACTTATGTGTTTCAAAAATTGGTACATGGAATTGGTATGCGACGACTTCGAGATTTGCTAGAATTAGGGGGAGACATCACCTAAATGTTGACCTGTACCAGCATCATATTATACGTTTTTCTTCCACAAGTTTTACTCACAAGGTTTCTTGTTAAAGTTTTTAATGAGATAATATTAACATAAGCATGTGTCATATTTTCTATTTTCCCCATAGGGGTTTTTGTGGAAAATATCAAAGACACATATTGCCCTCACAACTCATCCATGGTTTTTTTCCCTGAAAAGGTTTTTCATGTGAGTTATCTTAGAGGCAATACTAATAATATGTCGTCATATTTTCTCCTAATTTTTCCGCTGGGTTTTTATAGGAGTTTTAACGGCATATCTCTTTATATTGCTCCTCATATTTTTTTCCTGAAAAGGTTTTTGGGGAGTAATCTATATGTCGTATCTCCAATATTTTTTCCCCACTAGTGTTTTTAATGGGATACCAATGACATAGTGGTTTATTTAAATCACACTCACATATGCTATTTTCTCTTTATTCTCCTATAAGGTTTAAAGGAGTTTTTATGGCATATCTATACATATATATTCCTCAGATTTTTTCCACAGGGTTTTTGAGGAATCTCAGCTTACAGCTGCATTGATCTCAAGGAAGATTCGATCAAAGGGGAGTGTTGTGAAACGACGCCAGTACACCAACAGGCGTCCTTCTACAGATGATCTCATCCGTCCATACGGATCCAGACAGCGTCCGTACAAGCAGTTAGGATTATAGATTAGATTAGTAGTTAACTGTGTCACTAAAGAGGCATGTCTCTTGGTGACGAGATGTAACTTCTCCCATCGGTTGTGTCCTTTGGACACACCCCTTCATATGTACATATTCTATGAGATCAATGAAACACAACAGTGGTTTTCCAAATCTTTGTTCATTTACATTCACATTCAACAGAAATATGCCTCTGAAACACTTGCAAAAACAACTGAAAAACACTCGAAAACCATTGCAAGCATTCGCAACATCCAGACAAAACACTTACAACTTGTGTGAAACATGCAACATCCAGATAAACACACTTACAACATACGTCTGAAAAACAAATGAAACATTGGGAACAGACGCTTGCAACATACGTGTAACATATGCAACATCCCGATCTACTTTTGCAACATCAATATGAAACATTTGCAACATACCTCTGAAATATCTGAAACACTTAAATAGATGCTTGCAACATGCTTTTTTAGCAAACCCTAGTAGTTGGGTGCAAGGACGGAGCACTGCACAGCAGGGTTCGACTGGGGGGGAGGGGGGTTGGAGAAGGACGCGACAACGAGCCCAGGCGTGGCGCGGCCAGCCCGGCGGCTGCCCTTTCGGGGGAGCGCACCAGAGGGAGCAACGCGCGGCCGGAGCGGTTTCCCAGTCAGGGGCACGCACCAGAGGGAGCGCCCGAAACAAGCAGCTGAGAGGTGCGGGTGGGGCGCGTGACGACGGGGGCGAGGAGCGAGTGGCGCGGAATGGGGCGAAGCAGCGAGGGAAGTGCGACAGACGCGATGCGGAGTGGGCGCACGGCGTCCGGCCAGACCGCGTCCAATCATTTCCGTAAGTGAATAGCAAAATATATGTATCTAGAAAAGCCAGAATATTTTTATAATTTGGAATGGAGGGAGTTGCTTATAATTAGTGCAAGCGTGAGAAGTATAGTCATTCCACTAAAATTATGGGTTGAACTGATGATACACCGCCTCATCTGAGGGGCTTGGTTCCTCAGATCACACCCCATAAATGTAGTTGATGGGAAGAGAAGAAATGCTGCTCGATTCACATAAAATTGAGGTTTTCGCCATCATTTTGTCTTTGAAAATTCCAAACCATGACACTGGTAATTCAAATGTTCCAAGTGCAGGTGACCCAAAACACTGTTGAGCAGAACCGGATGGTGATTGCTATATAGTTCTTGTAGCAAGGCGATTCTAAAATGGAATTACATGAAATCATCAGGCAGCAAACTTATGGTACTAGGGAGCTAGGCGCTACTCTTCCCATCCTGACAGGCCAAGCCCTCCTGCTCCCACCTCTGGCATTGAGGAAAACATCTTAAGAGCTGAAGAGTCAGTGATGGTGACAACACCTTTTGATTTCTTTCTCTTCTTCGTGTGATCAATTACCAGACCTCCAACAAATTTTCCATCAGGAGCAGCTTCCAGGGTTGAGCTGTCCTTTAGCTTAGTCTCTGGATTGCCCACATTGGAAAACATTAAATCTGCAAATGAGATTTCTGTATTGTCAATTCCTTCGGCATCTACATCTTCTTCGTCAACGAATTTCTTCCTCTTGGCTTCCTTCTTGTCCTTCATGCTGGTATCATAGGCAGAAGATTGAACGGCTTTGTTCTTTAAGTTACTGTTATTGGCATGGTCTAGCTCTTCAGATTTCTTCGTCTTAGCTTCCTTCTTCACCTTTTTCCTTTCCTTACCGTCTGGCACTTCAAGTTTATTACCAGGGTTCGAAGTGGTGACACCTGTGGAAATACTCTGGACTTCAAGCTCTTCAGGGCCCTTTAACTCTTGTTTAGATTTCTTCCTTTTATCCCTCTTTGTATCAATCCCAATGGAGTCTTTATCTTTGCTCGGAGGATTCTTTTTTCTAGAGCTCTTATCACTCTTGGACGTGGCCTCTAGGGGCTTTGCATTCAATATGCGCAAGGTTGGCACAAATTTCTTAACCTGAGAGAACACTGGAATTACTACAGAATTGCAGTACATACAAAAAAATCAAGTTGGTCAGGGGAATCACCTTTTTGACAAGACTGTCTTTCTCAGAAACAGGATTTCCCTGCAAATTAAGGTTCCTCAAGTAGCGCAATTCAGAAAGTACCTGGCAACGAAACAAGTGACTGTTACAGTTAAAAAAAATCATGACAGATTAATTCGCAAACAGTGATAGGTGCAAACCTTCAAATCTGAACTCCTCTCAATAAAGTTATTCCCCAAATCAAGGTTCAAGATCTTCACATTTTTGGCCAAATCTGAAGGGATTGTCTGTAGATTCAAACCAGAAGTCACAGTCATCAAGTGCAATAGACAAATTTATGCTAGGACACCAATCAAAGTGAAAAAAGGACAACCAATGAAATCATACACTGATCTTGTTGTGAGAAAGCCTAAGTTCCTTCAGTTCCACACACTCGGCAAGAGAAGATCCAATATTTTCTATTTGGCAGTGAGACAAGGATAGCTATGAAAAGAAGTAGCAGTGACACATTAGTCATTCAGAGTTAGAAATAGGCTGGTCTTTCAAAAAAAAAAAAAGGGGGGGGGGGTTAGAAATAGGCTCCACACAGAAGAAACAACACATTCTTTTCTATAGTTATGTAATAAGGATAAAGAAATGAATAATACCTTTTTCATAGACTTAGCCTTGACCAAAGCATTGCCGATGGTAAAAACAGGATTCTTAGACAGAACTGCAGCGGAGTAAATGTTACACTTAAGTGAAGGGAAACATAGTTATCTATTGTCTCATAGCTCCTATATGAAAACATATTTTTTTATTAGGTGATTGGATTGAAATATAAATATAGGAGGAGAAGCAAAACAAATGTCAGGTGCACAAAAACTATTATTTACCATGCAAATTTCTATAGTTGTAATAACAAAGTTGTGAACAGCGTTGTATATCATGATCTCTTAATGGAAAAGGTGCTGATCATCTTATTTTAAGAAAAGCATGTAAGTATGCGTCAACAGGGTAAAGTAATCCAGTTAAAGCTACTACACGTGCGCGGTTTCGATTTACATACCAAGTGTATTCAACTGCTGCAACCGATCAAGCTTGCAGATGGAAGAAATATTGTTATCTGCATTAGAAATTGCAAAGGTTCTCTTGTGAAATCAAGTATATTACCAACGAGGGAAATAGGAATAATGGACAGTCTATAGTATTCATCAATTCCATTACCGTTAAGAATCAATGCTCCCAGGCTTGTTAAAGATGCGACCTCATCCATTTTCGTAAGTTTGTTCTTGCCAGCATTCAGTACCTGTAAAACAACTCCCAAGTGAGGCAACTCAAAGTAACGTGGTAAGATTCAATACTGAATTAGGCTACATGGAAATGCATGGGGGGACAGGCCGAGAGGCAAGTCACCTGCAACTTTGAGAGCTCCTCAACACCTTTTAAGCTCACAAGCTTGTTTTCGATAACCGAAAGCCACTTCAAATTGGCACAGGAGGACAAACCCTTGGTAACATAAAAGCAAGAATTTTAAGCAAAAATAGGCACATATAAACAAACCAGTTGAGGTTCAAACAGTAGCAGGCAATATGAAGCACTAATGAACTACATGTCTCCATGAAAACGATTGCATAGCTGCTAATCTTTTGAACCATGTGTCCATGTCTGAACTTATATATTACTACTACTGGGCGATTGTGAGACCAGAAAATACGGTCAAGAGATAAGAGCATGATATAGCAACGAGAGTGAGAATTCACCAATAGTCCACATGAAGAATACATATTTAACTTGAGTGCTCCTCAATCCTCATTAGCTAGCTTAGGAGGACTCTGCGTGGCAGCATTGCTCATTTACCACTACTTGTTTATTTACGTTGTAATAACAACAAGAGGTACCTCGAGGGTGACGAGGCAGTTGTAGCCGAGGTCGAGGCGCTCCAGGTTCTTGAAACTGCTCAGGCACGACACCTGCGCATGCAGAAGCAGCAGCACAAAGAATTGTGAGTAACAGAGCAGCTGCACGCACGGGCCGAATGAGAGTGAGAGACTCCACTCCACTTACGTCGGATAGCGCGCGGTGGGTGAGGTTGAGGGACGTGGCGTTAGTCCCCGCCTCGCCCGCCTCGCGCGCCGCCTGCTCCTTGGTCAGCCGCCCCATCGTCGCCGCCGCCGCCGCGAAGTGATTGGTCGCTATGGCGTTTGCCCCCTTTTGATCCTCCTCTTCTCTTCTGATAACCTAACGGCGCCCGCCGTTGCCCATTGACGGTCTCTTACTGGTGGGCCTCCAACTTGTAGTGGGACCCACCTGCCAGTTATGGCACTGGCTAACGCGTTGGCTGTTTCGTCAGCGATGAAACGGAACGGGACGAAGAAGTCTCGAGTCTCCCCTGTCCCCTCCTCCCCAACGCTCTGGCTGTAGAGGAAAGGCGAAGATGGCGATGACCGTCGAAGGTGAGTGCGTCTAGGGCCTCTCCCCCCGAAATTCCAACATTTTTCTCCAGTTCCGCTTCGATTCCCGTCGTTTGGGACACCGATTCGTGCATGTAGTCGGGGCGTATTGGGTTGTTGCTAGGGTTCGGTTCCGATCCGATGGAAGGGTTCGGTTGTTCTCTTCCAATTCAGGGCTTCGGAGATCCCAATTAGATTATGGATGGTGTGCTCTGAGGTAGTTATGGAATGGTGAAGTCTGTAACCCTTGTTGTTCCGGGCTCGCGGCACCGCCAGCACTGGATTGTTCGTTCGATCGAGGTTGGTCTCACTGCAAGTGCTCATTTTGGATCAGGGGGGCAGCTCATAGTGCTTTTGTCGTGATTTTCACCTTCTGTTTTGACAAGTCCATTTTTTTTTTCAAGAGAGATTATTTTTAGAATCTAGTGCTCAGATTAGCTCGTACTGTGTTGTGTTAGACTACCAGGTACCTTTCTTCCTCAAATAGCTTCAAGAGTTTCTTTTACTAATTCTGTTTATCTGTTACTTGTCTGCTTGCCCTCCGTACCTTTGTGCTGGATGCCGCTGTTCAATTGCTGATCATGATTCTCTTTACAGTGTAAGCTCATTGTCCTCAATCTTTTCTAACTTTTGTTTCCGTTTACACACAGTTTTGTTCCATTAATTCCTCCCATTACAGGCTCGCTGGACTCGCGTTCATGTCCTCCACGAGTATTCTACTGCAGATACTGGTACGCCGTGATCGCTTATTTAATGCTCCTGTTAGCCTCTTATTGCAGCACTGAAAGCTTTCTATGATACCAATTAATCATTACTTATGTGCTGTATTCATTATCAGTTTTGAGAAGCGACAACTTAGCTGTTTTCATGTTCTCTTGATCTCTTCCCACAATGTATGTACATTAGTTTGTCTGTGATTCATGGTATAAGCATGATACACATAATACAAAAGAAAAAGCACAAAGAGGCACTAGTTGCTTGCCAGGGTTATAGCAGAAGCATCATATCTGAGTGAGAGTCAAATGTACTGGAGAAAGCACTTTGCGGTCACTGCACACAAACTATGTAGACACCCCCCACACCATCAACTGTGTCCTAAGTGTAGCAACTTCGTGCAAAAGGCAGCATTAAGTTGTCATGCTATTATTGTTTGTTACTCCCTCCATTCCAAATTGTAAGTTGCTTTGTCATGCTATTAATGTTTGGTTTTTATTTTTGATGGTTACAGGCATGCGCTTTGTACAACAACTGGTGGCCCATGTTAGCAGGTTATTGTTACTTCGGTACCCTCCTCAGTCAATGAGAAAATTCCCATAGTCTTTCTATGTCAAGGGCGTCGGTGCTCAAGGTAGCAGGCCCTTGACTATGAAGCTCGTAGCTTGGGTTGGTAATGGCGTGGGGTTTATCCCCTGGACGCCCTATGTTGAAGGGGATGAGATTAAGATGAAGGGGATGAGATTAAGAGCAGCAGAGGTAGATTAGGAGATAACTTGTTTCTTGGTTGCCCTCTTATAAGCTGATTACAGGATATATATAGGACTGCCCAGCCCCTAGGCGCCAGCCACAAGCTCCTTGGTTCTCTCCCCATTAATCATCCTTAATCTCTCATTAATTCTATCATTTCCCCAGACTACTAATTGTCATTAACTACAGCTGGTGCCCCCTTGGAGACTGCCCTGGCTGCGTCTCGAGCCTTGGAGCGCCTTTGATATTGGCGCCCCCACATGACATTCTACTGACATTTTTACATGTTTACGATTCTTCTGCAGCTCTCATGTACGTCCTTGTACCAATGCCATGCCTGTTTTTTGGTGGTGGATCCACACACTTCTTGACTAGCAGAGAAGGTGGAGGGTAAGTTCAGCGTTTGATGCTCTTGGTTACTTATGGAAATGTATGATTCACAGATATAAATAATAGACCACTGAGAGAATATTACTTAAAGTATGTACTTGATAGTTTCGTTCATATCCTGTGCTATCATAGTGATACACTGATGAGCTGTGGTGGTAATAATTTCAGGTGGATGAATGCAGCAAAATTCCTGACTGGTGCTTCCGCCATGGGAAGCCTCGCTATTCCAGCAATTCTGAGGCATGCTGGCCTAATCGAGACGGGGGCTATGTTCATCGAGTTCACGTCCTTCTTCATCCTTGTATGCACAGTGCTGTGCTTCCATAGGGCTACCCTGGATGAAGACTGGTAAATGCGCATGCACGGACGACCCCCTGAACTTGAAGAATAGCCAACCTGTGGCCGCTTCTCTCCATGCTAAGAAAAAATCCTGTTGGAAGCTAACATGGATCTGTAGAAAGAAGCATATTTCGAGCGTGCGTAGCTGATGTTTTATGTAGACACCTGTGAAGATTCTGTAGTCATGTGGCAATGCAGATGTTATTACCTTCACTTTGACTTTGTCGTCACATGTTCTATGGTGAAGGAAGGAATCATCCGTGTAAAACATGACCAGGACACGCCCTACTTGGCTACTTCTATGGTGGGCTTTGATGTTAACCTATTATGAATGAAATGATGGGATCTTGATGATGGATATGTTGTTTGATTTTGGGGTGTTGATTGAAATGTAAAAACTCAATTGTGAAGCAAGCCTCAAGTTACGTATTCGAAGGATATGAAATTGCGGTTTCATACATGTAGGTACTATTGCTTTTAGTGCCCAAAGTTGAATGAGTTCCGTTCTTATCGACATTGTGAAACTAAACTACTGAACTACAGAGGTACATAAAAATCAGTTCAAATTTGGGATCAAGTTTATACCTTTGTTATAGCAGCTTTCAACAAATAAACTTATTAATACCCAGATCTGTAAACTTAAGACAGCAAAGACAGTTTGGCCGAGTGGTCTAAGGCGCCAGATTTAGGCTCTGGTCCGAAAGGGCGTGGGTTCAAATCCCACAGCTGTCAATTTTTTTTTTTTTCTTTTGCTCATTTTCTTTTGATATATACAATATATATATTTTTTGTTTTCTTTTGCTCATTTTCCTTTTGATCTATACAATATACGTGTAATACAGTATTATATATATATATATACTATATACGTGTAATACATTATTTTATCTTTAAATTTACTTTTTGTTTTTTTCTCATATAATTTTTTTTGAGGAAATATACTATACATGTGTAATACAGTATTTTATCTTTTAATTTAAAAAGGAATTAGCCGTTGTGTACGGCATAATAATTGTTAGTGAAACCATCCTACTCTTGTCGTAGACATAGAGGCGAGGCCAATAAATAGTCCATCCATCAGCTTCACACAGACATGGACACTAACAACGACGTTACCACTGACACTCCAGTTCACTCTGATATGACCACTATTCGGTCGTCGCAATCAAGCGAAATTAGAGGCTAGATTTTCAGTGGTTGAGTTGAGCCAGCCACAAATGCATGCAGCAAACACAAAGGAACTGAAGATGATGATCTTGATTTGATCAATGATTGGACTGGCCTGATGATCAAAGGAGCTGAACATGATTCGCTCGCTAGAGATCGTAAGACACCATTGACTGATCCTGTTAATTAATCTTGTTAGCAGCAATAGCAGATGCAGATCAATAAACCTTTACCAAGCCCAATGCAAGGAACAGATGTTTAAGTATATACTACTGTGTCGGCTCAAATAGATCCCTCCAAGTCCAAGGCTTCAACGCTCTCTCTCTCTCTCTCTCTCTCTCTCTCTCACACACACACACACACACACACATTTTCATTTTGAGCCTTGATATGAGGCAGATTCAGATAAAATTCGAACATGTTCAGCTGTTCCCTCTTTTCAGTTTCATGCTGATATATTGCCACAAAGCGAGGTTCTGGATGTAAAGTGAGCAGCCACAGCAGAACAGCAGCCAATGGAAACAAGTCACTGAACGTGCCGTGTGTGTTCCTCTGAATATTCTGAGGCCCTCCTCTCCTCTCCTCTTTTAACCAACCTAAGCAACACTGTTTGTTTACTCCTCCACTCTACTACTGCTCACCTCGTCAAGTTGACGAGTCAACAAAGTCATCATCTTATCTCTGTCTTTCCTCCTCCATGTCCATGGCCCTCAGGCGGCTCCGACCTTGGGCCTTCCTTCTCTTCTTCCTTGTCCTTTTCTCCTACGATGAATCTGGTCTTTGGAGCAGAAGCAGGACTAGGAGTGGAGTCGCGCAGGCCACGCAGAGAGTCTTCCTGTATCCACAGGCTCCCAAGGTCCCCTCCATCGTGAGCAGCAAGTACAGGACTGCCTACCACTTCCAGCCTCCCAAGAACTGGATCAACGGTATTGCTCTGTCTCCCCTCTAGTTTTCACCTGTTGACTTTTGGTCTGTCATGTACTCATGTTGTCGTGTGTCTTCTGATTTGAGGTGCTTTTCTTGGATCAAGAAAAGGCAGTTTGTCTGATTTTTGCCCAACTGGAGAGAGTTGAGTTTCCTTCTCTTTCTGAATAAAAGTTACCAGCTGGTGAGGTTAAACCCAGCTAGTATATATTTTTTTTCCTGTGTTCATGGTATATGTGAGAGAGGAAGGTTGGTAGGCAACTCACTACTTGTGCAGTCCTGTTGGTTGTTGCTGGATGCTGCACAGGACAGGATATATAGGTGCTCACATTTATGGCATTGCTGTTACATTTTAGTAAAGTCATAGCAATATTTTGCCTAAAGGGATCGATGCTATTCGTTGCTGAATATTTTTGCACTCCATTGCCATAGTCTGAAGTATTGTCTCAAAGTTTTCAGTTAGGCAATGCACGAGTCCTTACCATTCAGGCCAACTGAAAATTTGTCTGAAAACATGAAAGATCCATTTCTTTGTCATCTGGATGTAATCCATGTGCTGTTTTGGACTCTAGGGTCTTCCCTGTTTGTACCGTCTTATATATGTTGATTATATTTTCATCACAAGTTTCTGACATCATCTTTCTTTTTCGTCCTTGAAAATCCAAATGAATCGGCGACTGTTTCAAACATGTAACAACAATTCAAAAGATCCAAATGGTATGTTATGTATCTCTCACACCAAAATGGCACTGCTTCCATACCAAACTGTGGTATAAGCTGAAGCGCTCCTCAACCGTTGTTGCCTTAATTTTCAGGACCAATGTACTACAATGGTATCTATCACCAATTCTACCAGTACAACCCAAATGGTTCTCTCTGGGGTAACATAGTCTGGGGCCACTCGGTCTCAACAGATCTCATCAACTGGATTCGGCTTGAACCGGCGATAGAACGGACGACTCCGAGCGATATCAATGGCTGCTTGACAGGTTCAGCCACAATCCTCAAGAGTGACCAGCCTGCCATTATATACACTGGTGCTGACACGGAGAAGCGTCAGGTCCAAAACATTGCGTTTCCCAAGAACTTGTCTGATCCATACCTGAGGGAGTGGATCAAGCCAGACAACAACCCACTGATCCAACCAGTTGGACAAGGATTGAACCCAAACCAGTTCAGAGATCCGACGACCGGTTGGATCGGACCAGATGGGCTGTGGAGGATAGCAGTTGGGGCTGAACTGGACGGCTACAGTGCTGCACTTCTGTACAAGAGTGAGGATTTTGTGCACTGGACTAGAGTGGATCACCCACTATACTCTTCCAATGACTCCACCATGTGGGAGTGCCCGGATTTCTTCGCAGTGTTACCGGGCAAGAACATTGGGCTGGACCTGTCGGCGGCGATCCCGAATGGCACCAAGCATGTCCTCAAGATGAGCCTTGACAATTGTGACAAGTACATGATTGGTGTTTATGATCTGAAAAGTGATGCCTTTGTGCCAGATTCCGTTCTTGAGGACCGAAGACTGTGGTCAAGGATTGATTATGGCAATTACTATGCTTCAAAGTCGTTCTTTGATTCGAAGAAAGGCAGGAGGATCATATGGGGTTGGACAAATGAGACAGACAGTTCGTCGGATGACGTTGCCAAAGGTTGGGCTGGAATCCATGTAAGCTTCTAAGTTCTAATAACTACATCACCTACTATTTTCTAGTAAATTAGTAGTGATCCTTGCTTCAACATGCATGCCTTTGTCAGTGTAACTATGCACAATCATTTTTTTTTCACATTTATTAGGCAATCCCCAGGACTATATGGTTAGATAAAGACAGTAAGCAACTGCTGCAATGGCCAGTTGAAGAGTTTGAGTCACTTCGAGGAAAAGAAGTCAGCCAGCAAGGCCTGGAGCTCAAGAAGGGGGATCTGTTTGAGATTAAGGAAATTGATACTCTGCAGGTTAGTTTCATTCATTCTCATGTACACTTAGGTTTCTCCATTTCAGAATTCATTCATAGCAACTGTAGATAATCTAGCACACTTTTTTTTTTTTTTTTTTTTTTTTTTTGCTGAAACAGGCAGATGTGGAGATAGATTTCGAGCTTACATCCATAGGAAGTGCCGATCCTTTTGACCCTTCCTGGCTCTTGGACATCGAGAAGCACTGTCGAGAAGCAGATGCGTCGGTTCATGGCGGCATAGGCCCATTTGGGCTTGTGCTTCTTGCATCTGACAACATGGAAGAGCACACCTCTGTGCACTTCAGAGTTTACAAATCACAGGAGAAGTACATGGTTCTTATGTGCTCTGATCTGAGAAAGTTAGTACACATATTTCACCTCCTTTTTTTCTCCAGCTTTGGCTAAATTCTTGAGACATTTTAACGTTTAAAAGTCTTCATGTTTTTGTTTCATCAATTAATTAAGCAGTAGAGTTTTTCTTCTTCTTTATTTGCAGGTCGTCCTTGAGACCAGAACTGTACACACCAGCCTATGGAGGCTTCTTTGAGATCGACCTCGAGAAGGAAAAGACGATATCTTTGAGAACTTTGGTGAGTTCAGTTGGGGGGGGGCTTTGTTTCCAGTGTTCTTCACGTAGTGAGAAATGAAATGGGTAAGCTGTAACAGCAATACCTCTGCACGCCCTGCAGATCGATCGCTCTGCGGTGGAGAGCTTCGGTGGAGGTGGCAGGGTCTGCATCATGGCTAGGGTCTATCCTGTGGCGCTCATCGACGATGGCGGCACTCGCATGTATGCCTTCAACAATGGCACTACAGCCGTCAGAGTGCCTCGGCTAAAGGCATGGAGCATGAGGAGAGCACAAGTTAATGTTAAGAAGGGATAAGCACAGACAGTTAGTATACACTATTCAGTTACGAAGCCTTTTCACCACTGGAGGAGAGGAATGCATGAGTTACTTCACGGCATCATGCTTCTCTGCTTCCAAGCTCATTCTTTAGCTCCCTGGAAAGACGGGGAAGAAATAAAAAGCGCAAGCTCGCTGACCTCACGTTAATTATGTAATTCATCTGCTAGAAAGAAAGGAAACAGAGATTTATATATATTGCTAAGTGGAGATATTTTCCCAATGACTTTGACCTCGGTTGTATGGTTATGGGTTGAGTCTGGTTTCTCTCATAAACTGGGTCTTCTTCTTTTTTCCTTGTAATAACCCGTTAGAAGAAGAACATACACATGGTTTTTATTAACTTGGAGAAAGCTTATGATAAAATAACAAGGAATGTTATGTGGTGGGCTTTGGACAAATATAAAGTCTCAACGAAGTACGTCGGACTCATTAAGGGCATGTACAACAATGTTATGACTAGAGTTCGAACAAGTGATGGAGACACGGATGACTTTTCGATTAGGATAGGACTACATCAAGGGTCAGCTTTGAGCCCTTATTTGTTTGCCTTAGTGATGGATGAGGTCACAAGGGACATACAAGGGGACATCCCTTGGTGTATGCTTTTCGCGGATGATGTAGTGCTAGTTGATGAAAGCCGGACAGGAGTGAATCAGAAACTGGAGTTATGGCGGGAGACTTTGGAGTCCAAAGGTTTTAGACTCAGTAGAACTAAAACTGAGTATATGAGATGTGACTTCGGCACTACTACTCGGGAGGAGGAAGATATTAGTTTGGAAGGTCAAGTAGTGCCTAGAAAGGATACCTTTCGATATTTAGGATCAATGCTACAGAGAAACGGGGATATTGATGAAGATGTTAGCCATAGAATCAATGCAGGGTGGATGAAGTGGCGACAAGCATCTGGTGTCCTATGTGACAAAAGTGTACTACAGAAACTAAAAGGCAAGTTTTATAGGACGGCGATTAGACCTGCTATGTTATATGGTGTAGAATGTTGGCCTACAAAAAGATGACATGTTCAACAGATAAGTGTCGCGGAAATGCGTATGTTGCGTTGGATTTGCGATCATACAAGAAGGGATCGAGTTCGGAACGATGATATACGTGATAGACTAGGGGTAGCACAAATTGAAGAAAAACTTGTCCAACACCGGTTGAGATGGTTTTGACATGTCCAACGGAGACCTCCAGAGGCACCAGTGCGTAGTGGAATCCTAAGCCAGGATAGTAATGTGAAGAGAGGCAAAGGAAGACCGAAGTTGACTTGGGTAGAGGCAATAAAAGGAGACTTGAAAGGATGTAATATACCTAAAGACTTAGCCTTAGATAGAAGTGTTTGTAAGATAGCTATTCACGTGCCTGAACCTTGATTGCTTCTGCTAGGTTTCAACTATAACCTACCCCAACTTATTTGGGACTTAAAGGCTTTGTTGTTGTTGTTATAATAACCCGTTAGACTTGCAAAACTATGCCGTTGTTTCCTTTGCCAAATTTTGGCCACTCTTTACTTAGATAGTCTTTCTTTGGATCCATATATATCTTCTTGCAGACCATGGCAAAGTAGCAGCGATAAGTTAAACTAATTTCCTCTGTACAATGATGCTTATAAATACCAAATTATATATTGCTCTTAAACTGGTTTTCATTTCAGACAAAAAAAATTATAGCAATTTAAGCCCTGATCAGAACAGCAAGTATTTTTGCACACTCCTAAATTTACTTTAATATATGACATGTGTGGTTACTCTATGATACCTGTTGGTGGTCCTTAACCACCATATTAGACCGCCAATTAAGATACAAACAAAAAGGATAAACTAGCATGATTATTCACATATGTTATTTATATTGACCTATTTCCACATGTATTAGAGAATCATTGTTTTACCGGGCATATACATGAAACACATGGAAATGGAGTCAAAATGCGCAACTAGGAAAGCGCAAAATAAGCAAATAAAGAGAGAAGCCCACCTACCCATCTAATCTAGGCCAAGCACCGGCATGGCTACGCAACTGGCCCAACAAGGAACTGCCATGCAGAAGGAGGTTGCCGCCGCACCGCCCTCCACGCCTCTCGCCTCTAGCCGCCACGTGTCGCCTCCTGGTGCCTCCCCCACGTCGGTTGCATGCGGGATCCGGTGAAATATTTTCTAGAACCGATGTTTCCATGACTATAAATAAAAGAGGAGGCCTCCCCTCTCTCACACACCACACTTGAGCTCTCTCTCTCCCTCCATGCTTGTACTCTTGTACCCTTTTAGTAGTATTTAGAGCAAGGCAAGCTTCATTGGAGAGCTTGAACTTCTAGAGACAAACTTGGTATGAATAATATGAAGAGTTTCATTATGTTCTTGTTCTCATTTTATCAATATAGCTATGTTATGAAATTAGAGCAAAGTTCTTATGTTATTAGTTTAGCATATAGAACTCTATGCTTAATCTTTCATACAACATACATGTTTAGACCAAGACCTAAATTAAGGTAGTGAGTTCTACTTTAAGATTAGTTTTGGTCATTATATTCTAGTGGGTTCGTCCGTCCCGTGGCGGATGCTCTAGTAGAGGACTCCTGATAAAGGCGGATGTTCCTGGCCGACGCTAGAGTAGTAGTCGATAGCATAGACATGGTGTCTAGGCTGGAGGCTACCTTCGTTTGCCTCGTGCCCCACGGTTGAGGGGTAGGCGGCAGGTGGTGACAACCATGTCCGTCCCTCGTAATCCTCCACGTTTGGGTTCGATGTAGAGCCGTAGGCCAGTATCGCTTGGCAGACCAGGTGTACGCTGGTGCCCGAAGTAAGTCTATAGTGACCAAAGCTATCTTAGCTTAGAATCTCTAACCTTAGAAACTCATGTATTTGTATGACTATCTACTCATCTTAGCTTAGCTATACAAGATAAGCCTGCTCTAGTTTAGGTATATCCTTTTATTCTTTATTCTTTCTTTTATCTTTATCGTTGAGATTGGCTTGAGTATGTGTGTCACACTATCCAATATTTATCCTAGCGTACCTCTGTTATAAACTTTGGTCTATTATACAGTCATGTTATCTTGACCATGTCCCTACTAGAGACTTTTACACCCTGCCTTTCTTTGGAAAAATATAAATGAATGATACCCGAATACTTTCGGGTGAAATGCTACAACGATATATCCGTGTGCTTGCAGAATATTTCTGCATGTGTTCAGAAATATCATCACGGCATTTCTAGTGCCATTACTAGGAAACACCAATCCTAGTGATTACGCTAAGAAACGTCAACAATACCTTGCCTCTGAATGAATAGCTACATAATACATTTACTTAAAATAACATTGAGCGTTTTATTATAGTTGTGTTAGCATCTTTATTTTATTTATTAATATAGGTGAAGAGTTTGAGAAAGATGTTCCAACTTAACTTCAATGAAAGCTTTTGCCAAGTCAATGTTCCATCAGAATATGACCCTACAGTCTATAGCTGATTCAAAGCAACTTCTCTTACGTAGTTGTATGTAATCTGATCCGAATGTAGCAAGTCTGCATTTGCTTTTCCTTTTTTTTTCTTTTGACATTTTATTCGTTCCAAAACAAACAAATCCAACAATAGTTCATATAGTAGCAATAATATACACGGTTCTTGTGCTTCACTCGCTCCGCACAATCGGTCACTCTCGCTTTTGGAAGGAAGTAAGCCTAACCGTAAATGTAAGTCGAAAGTAAAATATCACAAATGACAGCTTAACAACATAGTTAATAAGCATGCACCAGGCAACCTTTGACTGTACCATGCAGGTCAGCAGGGTCTCAGGCTCTCAGCCAAACAGGACCACTGGCAATACGCAGGCAAAATTTTCCCAGGGTTCTAACAAAATAAGCCCTTAAAAAATCAACATATCAAGAAACCCACAGGAGGCAAGAGGCAACGTCATTTCTGATGGAAATGGTGACACAAGCTCATTTCTGACCGCTCAAGATAATGGAACTATGGTGCATTTAGCTCAAGGTTCAAGCATTCAACTCTAATTTGGATCACAACTTTAAGTGCATTACAAAAAGATGACTCCAGGTTCAATGCCAGGTCAACTACTTCAAGAAATGCTAATAAAAAACTAACCAACAAAGCTAGGCCATAGAGTCATCACAAGGGCAGTAGACTACTAAACATCACAAGGCCATAGAGCGCTCACTGGTGGAAAGTGTAAGGTGGCATGGACAAAAGTGTGTACACCTACAGAAAATGGTGGTATGGGAATCAAGGATTTGGAAGCCTTCAGCCGATCGCTACGACTAAGATGGATGTGATATGCCTGGGATGACAGGGACTATCCTTGGAAGGGTCTGCAGCTGCAAACTGACAATGAAGACAGGCGATTCTTCGATGCTGCAACCAGGGTGGACATTGGTAATGGATGCAAGGCTTCCTTCTGGACATCAAGATGGCTAGACGGTCACGCTCCCGGTGACTTGTTCCTGGAGCTGTTCAGGCACAGCAAGAGGAAGAACCGCACTGTGGCGGATGCACTGACAGACAATACTTGGGTCAGAGATATTGATCATAATATGAGTCAACAAATTATCGAAGAGTACCTCCAACTATGGGACAAATTAGAATCCGTGGTCCTCACGCAGTCAGAAGAAGACCGAATAATCTGGACTCATTCATCGAGTGGTGAGTATTCAGCTAAGTCCGCTTATGACCTGCATTTTCAGAATCTAGGCAGATGCAGTGCGGCCGAACTTATTTGGAAGACCAAGGCACCCCCAAAATTCCGGTTCTTCATCTGGTTGCTCCTCCAGGATAGGATATGGACAGCAGCAAGGCTGCAGGTGAGGCATTGGCCAAACGAGTATTTTTGCCAGCTTTGCGTACGTAACCTGGAAACTGCAAATCATTTATTCGTTGAGTGTCCGGTAGTCAAAACTGTATGGCATAGAGTAGGGCTATGGGTGAGAGCACCGAGTCTGCAGCCAGACAATTGGGAGCTTGTGG